TTATAGAAATAATTGTGGAGAACCAGGAATAGAGAAGTTCAGACTTGAGATATAAGCTGGAAGGGAAAGTTAATAAAAGAGGAAATGTACCAAGAAGGGATTGAAGAATTATTCATTACTAATATCCCAATGAGGAAGTACCACTCCAAACTTGAAAACACGATTTTTATGTGATTATTTGACATAATGTTTTAAACTTTATAGTTTCTGTAGCTTACATATATCTAGATGTAACTTATATATTGAATGTGCAGCACTTGCGGTAGTGCGTAACAAGCAGAAAACCTAACTTTTCTCCTCCACTACAATCCAAACCAGCTTTGTCAGATCTTTTTCCCTATCCCTGGATTATATGCTAGGCATGCATTATGGCTTTTCTGGTCATGTTAAGATATTTTGGAATGTCTCATTTTTAGTTATTTAAAGTTTCAATATGATATAAATCACTGTAAATGTTTCTTATTCTTCAGATTGCCCTTGTAGTTTTTTATTTTTCTTTCTTCTTTTTTTTTTTTTTTTTGGTCTTCTACTCTTTTCTGCTTTCTCTGACTTTAATTGAACATTTTATATGGTTCCAGGTTCTCTCCTCTCTTACCACATCAGACATTTTTTTAAAAAAATTTTTTCAGTGGTTGCCCTAGAGTTTGCAATATACTTTTATAATTCATCGAAGTCCACTTCAAACAACACTATACCGCTTAATGGGTAGTGAAAATACAATTCCTCCCTCCTGTCCCTTATAACTGCTGTCATTCACTTCACTTATGCATAAGCTATAATCAGAGAACACAATGTTGATATTATTATTTTGAACAGAGTATTATCTGTTGGATCAACTAAGAATAAGGAACATAAAAGATTTTATTTTACCTTAATTTATTCCTTCCCTAAAACTCTTCCTTTCTTTGTGCAGATCCAAGTTTCTGACCTAGACCATTTCCACCTCTTCAAAGAACTTCTTTTAATATTTCTTGCAGGGCAGGTCCACTGCCAATTTCCCTAATTTTTGTTTTCTGAGAAAGTCATTATTTTTCCTCTACTTTTTAGGGATAATTTCACTGGATACAGAATTCCAGATTGGTGGTTTTTACCTTCCACACTTTAAATATTTTACTCCACTCTCTTCTTGCATAGTTTCTGAAGATAAGTCCAATGTAATTCTTATCCTTTTTTTCCCTGTGGCTTCTTTCAAGACTTTTCTCTTTGTCTTTGATTGTCTGCTGTTTGAATATATATGCCAAAGTGTAGATTTTTTTTTAGTATTTGTCCAGTTTGGAGTGCTCTGATTCTGGGATTCGTGGATTTGTGTCTGTCATCAATTTTGAAACATTCTCAGTCATTATTACTTCAAATAGTTCCTTTCTCTCTTTCTTCTTCTTCTGGTATTCCCATTATGCGCATATTACATCTTTTGTAATTTTCCCACAGTTCTTGGATATTCTGTTCTTTCTCATTCTTTATTATCTTTGCATTTCAGTTTTGGAAGTTTCTATTGACATATCCTCAACCTATATTCTTTCCTTGGCTGTGTCCAGTCTACTTATGTGTCTATCAAAGATATGTTTGATTTCTGATACAATGTTTTAGAGTTATAGCATTTCCTTTTGAGTCTTAGCATTTTCATCTCTCTGCTTACAGTACCCTTCTGTTCCTGCATGTTGTCCACTTTCCCCCTACTTCGAAGGCCAGAGTGGGCTGGAGTTGAGTATTTCCATTCCTCTAGGTTGGTAAACCCCAAGTTGGTTAGGCTCTGGTAAAATAGTTTCCCTTAAGGGCAGGATTTGTTAAGGAAAACAAAGAGCTCTGGGCATATTTAAAAATGGTCACTTTTCCTCTCCCACTGTCAGAAGAGGATTTTTCTCTCATCTTCACGGTGAGAACCTGGTAGAGCTCCTGGAGGTAAACTCACCAAAGTATGGGTGTTCCTCCACCCCACAACTGGGACCACTTGGAGTTTTTAATTCTCAAGCCAGTCCATGAGTTTTAACTCTCAAGGTAGTCCACACTGAGCCTTCAGTAATTTGTCGATGATAGTTTAAAGTGTTCCTACTCATACTGGTTCCTGCTCCCTGTAAGTTGTGCTTCTCTTTTACTGCTTGTCTGTCTCTCCAGTTGGGGGGCAGCAGTTTTCCCTGTGACCTCAATTCTCTGAAGGATCTAGGAAAAGTTGTTGATTTCTAGTTTGTTCAGATTTTTCTTGTTGTGAAGATGGAAGTGACTGACTTTGACCTCCAAACTCTTTACATATTGGACTGGAAACCTCTAAATCACTTTACAGTGTCTTCTTTTCCAGGCCTGACCCACAAATATGGTTAGAAGGAAGAGGGTATGATCTGCTTTGTCTTAGTTCCTCCACCTTTTACTTCTTTGTGTTCTTCCCACATTCTGTTTCCTTGGGATCCTTCAGAGTCAGCTTAGCGGTAGGAAGAAAAGGCTATTATAAACTGAGATCATGGTCCCCTCTGTAACAAATGCCCAAGTACTGGTTCTTTGTCATTAGTTACTTTTGTACATTTTTGGAGATTCACCCAAATCCACGAACTCCAACAGTGCCATTTCCTGATACATGGAATGAATGTTCCAGCTAGCATCTCAGAATTCCCACACAGCATCTCTTCTAGTGCCTTACCTCACACAACCTCATTCTGCTGGTTGGTTTGCTTCTCCTTTATTTCTACTCCAGTTGCTTAGCTCCTTTTTAATAACAATTCTACCCTAGTTTATGGGTTGAATTGTGTCCCCATCAAAAAGATACAATGAAGTCTTAAACCCAGTACCTCAGAATGTGACATTATTTGGAAATAAGGCCATTAGAGAAGTAATCAAGTTAAAATGAGGCCACTGGGTTGGGCTCTGATCCAGTATGACTGGTGTCCCTCTAAAAAGGGGAAATTTGAACACAGACACAGCACACAGGGAGAATGCCATGTGAAGATGAAGGCAGAGATTGAGGTGATGCATCTATAAGCCAAGGGACACCAAAGATTGTCCAAAAACCACCAGAAACTAGGAGAGAGGCATAGAACAAATTCTCTCTCACAGGCTTCAGAAGGAATGAACCCTGCCTACACTTGGATCTTGGACTTCTAACCTCCCTAACTGTGAGACAATAAACTTCTGTTGTTTAAGCTACCTAGTTTGAGGTACTTTGTTATGGCAGCCCTAGAAAACTAATATACCTAGCCATGTACCAATATGTCTACTAGCTGTTGGGAGAACTTGACAGTTGATACCTCTTTACTCTGTCATCACAGGCACTCTTAGTCAGTCTCTTGCCTTTAAATATTTCCAGACAAGAGAGTTGACCAATCATCTTTGGTACTGCCATTTCCCAAACTCCAAAGTTATTGACCAAGTTCCCACTCTCCACCCCCAAAAAATCTCTTACCGTCCTCTTCTTCAGTAGCAGCATGGGGTGGCCAGGGGCCATATCATACAGAATCTTATAGGCTTATGAAAATAATTTTGGATTTTATTCTATTTGAGTAGGGAAGATTTTAGAGGTTTTGGACAGGAAAGTAACAAATTCTGATTTGCATTTTTAAAGGATTTCTACAGCTGCTAATTGGAGATTAGACTGTAGGGAGGCAAGAATAGAAACATGTAGAACAATTAAGACACAATTACAGCATCTAGTGAGGACTAGAGTGGTAGCTGTAGAGGTGGTGAGAATTAATTAGATTTAGGATATCTTTTAAAAAGAGAGCCAACAGATTTTGCTGAGGGATTGGATGTGGAATGTGAGCGAAAGAGGAATCAAATGATGATCTGAACAACAGTAAGAATTGATGTACCCTTTACTGAGATGGAAACATATGCAACAGGAACAGGTTTGTGGAGGTTGAAAATACAGAGTTTGAAATTCATGGTAAATATCCTAGTAGATATGTTGAAATAGGAAGTTGGATATGCGAGTACAGAAATTAAAGAAATCAGGGCTGGATATGGATACTTGGAAGCCATCAGCATAGTGATGCCATATAAAAGACAGTGAAAGGAACGGATGAGATCACCTACGGAATGAGGGTGGCTAAAGAGGGGAAGAGATCTGGGGCACATTGACATTTAGAAATCAGGAAAAATCCAGCAAAGGAGACTCAAAAGAGCACTGTGATTTCACAAAAGTCAAATGAAGAAGGTGTTTGAGGTTTCAAGAAGGAGGATGTGATTAACTGTGTCCATTGCTGCTGAATGATTATTAAGTAAGATGAAGACTGAGTTAATATTGGATTTATCAGGACTGTTTAAATGCCCAGATATCTACACATAATCTCTCCTTTCATTCTAACATTTAAATTAGCTAAGAGGTCTCACATTCAAGTGTGCATAAGAATTAAAGATCTAGAGTTTATCCTTAACATCATGTATTCCGTACTTTGTGAGCCACGTAGAGGATTTTCATGGGGAATTTTTACTATCAGGGATTTCTGCCTTAAAGGCTGAGTTTAGAACCAAACACCTGTTATCGACGTGCCTTTAGCTTTCCACAGCTCTTTCCAATCTATACTATTAGTATTCAGAAGATAGGAAAAAGAGCAACGTCCGAGAGGCTATCCTTAACTTCTTACTTTACATAAATCATAATTTACAGGTAAATTTAATCTTCTAAATCTAGGCTTGTCCACCTCCCGTCTTTTCTGGAGTTGAATGGATCGGGTAAAGCCGGATAAACCATAAATGGGAGAGTGGGCAATTAGCTGCATGAACATTCCCGGAACTGTATTTTAAATTCCGCTCGGAGAACAAGGCTTCAGGTGGCCCAGTCCTCTACGGCTACCAGGAAGATGTGTCCCTCGCTTGAGAAGAGAGGGTAAAGGAAGGACGAGTAGAATCCGCGAGGAGAGAACAAGACAACTCATCTCCCACACGCCTCTCTCTCCCAGCCCACCCAGCGCCACAGGCACCAACCCAGGGACCACGCCCCGCCTATTTCCGGACTGTGGCCGCCGCCGTCGCGTGCGCAATGACGTTTCAGTCTCCTGCGGACCCCGGAAGTGCAACTCGAACTTGGTCGGGGCGCGGATCCCGAGAGGGAAAGTCATAACTACCGCACGAGGGAGTTCGACTGGCGAGCTGGAAGGCCACGCCTCCTCCCGCCTGCCCCCGCAGCCCTGTAGCTGGGGGCAGAGCTCAGGTAGGACCTGCGTTCGAGGGGATGTGAGCTTGGGGGGCAGGCCCCGGCTGAAATCAGAGGAGGGGGCTGGCCTGGGCCGTCTCGGGCGGGGGTCGCCCGGAAGCTACCCGGAGCCACGCTGCGTTTCGTGGAGACACCTTTGCCCTGTGTCCGGGACCCCGCTGATGGGCAGGTTGCACCTGCCATTGCCACTTGCGAGGCGGGGCGGGACACGTGTGTTCCCTGGATGACTCTCCTTACACCTGGACTTAGGAGGTTCTGGCAGCCCTGGAGATCGTAGAGTAATGGGCCCTCCTACGCTTTCTCAGGAGGGGAGGTATTGCAGTTCTCTGGTTAAAGATTTTTTTCTACAAAAATGATCATCAACTGCCAAAGCTTTACCAGAAGTCATTTACTGCAGACAGAAGATTAAAGTGCAGTTATAAAATGCTCTCAAAACTTGTAACATGTATGGGTGCTGGTGGGACATTTCACTGGGATGAATTCTTAGTTGAATACTTTTGACTTTGAAATAAAATTAGGTATATTTTGGAAGCAGTTTTCTCTCTCCCTCATCCAGAGATTTAACATATTCTTCTAGGGCTCCAGAGTGTGTATCTGTTTGGCCAAGTAACTGGTTACTTGGTTTTTGGCTATATTTATTGACAAGCAGTGTTTGTGCATTTTGGTATCTTTTTGTCTTAGGGCAGTGGTAGAAGTACATTCAGTATCCCTCATTGTGAGGGACAGATATACTGTATTCATTTAGTTTATTTAGAAACTGAGTCAGAGAGCACTTTTTTTGATGTGCTGGTACCAGGCTTCTATCTGACTTTTTAACTAGGCGGTCCTTCCACTTAACCAGTGAAGCCTAAACCAGGGATGCTCTGGATGACTTGGAGGCAGTGGCTGCTGCAGCGCTGGTAAATGGTAGAATAGTACGAAGGCCAAGAGGGAAATATCTGTGAAGCTGTGAACATCCATTTATTCATTCATTTATCGAATATTTATTGGCCACCATCAGTGTGCCAGGCAGTGTTCTAGGTGCTGGGCAGATAGTAGTGAACAAAATAGACAAAGTCCTTGTGCTCCTGGAGTGTACATTGTAGGGGGTGGAGAAGGACAATTAGCCAGTAAATATATATCAAATAGTGATAAGACCTATGAAGAAAAATAAAGTACATTAAGGGAAGAGAGAATGATAGCTATTTTAGATAGGGTGGTCAGGCTCAGCCTCTGTGATAAGGGGACTTTGAGTAGACATCTGATTGGAATGAGACAGTAAGCTCTGCAGGTACCTGGGAGATGAGCGTTTTAGGCTGGTGAGAGGCCCTGAGGCAAGAGTGTTTGGTATATCTTGGAATAGCAAGGATGTAGCATGGAGGCATTAGGGTTTAAAAATGTTGAGAATGAATATTTAATCAGTGATTTGGTGTGTGCGTGGGATGTCTTGTTTATTGACAGCGTATTTTTCTCAGCTTTCCCAGACAGACCTCTATGAGGAGAATATGATGTCCTTATATATATAGAGATGTTTCCATGCTCTTCATTAGTGCTAACAAAATTAAACACCATTTACTTAGTTGTACATAACTTGTGCTGTCTGTTTTAGAGTCAGATTAGGTTTGCACGGTACCGTGGATAACTAAGCAGCGAGTACTTCTCTGCCCTATGTCAACTTTACTTTTCATTCATTTTTTTATTATAGTAAAATATACATAACATAAAATTTACCATTTTAAACATTCTTAACTGCCCATTTCAGTAGTATCAAGTACGTTCACATTGTTACACAACCATGACTACCATCTATCTCCAGAACTTTTCATCTTCCTCAACTGAAAATCTGTACCCTTTAAACATTAACTCCTCATTCCCTCCCTCCCCTCAGCCCCTGGCAAGCACCAGTTTACTTTCTGCCTCTGTGAATTATCTATCTCTACTCTAGGTACCTCATATAAGTGGAATCATACAATATTTGTCCCTTTGTGACTGACTTATTTCAGTTAGCATAATGTCTTCCAAGTTCATCCATGTTGTAGCATATGTTAGAATATCCTTCCTTTTTATGGCTGAATAATATTTCATTGTATATATATATACATTTTGTTTATACTTTAATTTGTCCATAGATGCTTGTATTGCTTCCATCTTTTGGCTATGGTGAATAATGCTGCTATGAACATGGGTGTGCAAATATCTGTTTGAGTCTCTGCTGTCATTTCTTTTGGGTATGTACCCAGAAGTGGAATTGCTAGATTATATGGTAAGTCTATGTTTAATTTTTTTAGGAATCACCTTACTGTTAACCACAGTGGCTACACTATTTTACATTCCCACCAGCAATGCACAGAGGTTCCAGTTTCTCCACATCCTCACCAACACCTCTGCACATCCTCGCCAAACACATTTTCTGTTTTTTTGATAATAGCCATCCTAATGGGGTGAAGTAGTGTCTCCTGTAGTTTTGATTTGCATTCCCCTGATGATTGTTGATGTAACCATCTCTTTCATATGCTCTGGAGACATATTTATATATCTTCTTTGGGGTACTAGTCATTTATTTTAAGATCTAATTTTAATAGAAATTTTTGGAGACTTTTTTTTTCTGGTGAACCTTTTAAGGGTTAAGAGTGAGCCACCCTGTCTTCTTTTGCTTTTTAACTGTAAAATACTATAATTGGAAAACGACAGTTGTCTGGAGACCAAGTATCTGCAGTAACTCCAAACTCAGAAATAAAAGAAACCATAAAGCATCTTTTGTAACAACGAATGAGCCTCTGAGTATCAGATTGTGATGAAAACAGTTCAGAAAAGCCAAAGATCATCCTGACCTGCTTTGTTTTTTTTTCTTTTTAATTAGAAGGAAAGGAGTGTATTGATTGGCTGACTGTGCCTGTGAAGTAGATCTCTTTTGTCTGGTAGCTGAGAAGAACAAGAAACAGAGGAGCCAAAAATGATGAATAAACAGAGAAAAGAAGTGTTGAATAGCAGTACAGCAGTCAAATGTGGCTAGATGGAGAGTGGCAAATGGGATCAATATCAGTAATGGATGATAAGCACCAGAACTGAGAGCAAAGGAGAAGGGACCCGGAAACAAAGTGACAGAAAGTAATATAGCTCTACAGGTTGGAATAGAATGGGGGATAGGCTGAGAGAGTACCAGTTTCCACTTTCATCCCAGCATGTGGTTCTGAAGTCAGCTGCTTGGTATTGAGTCATTTAGTAAGACCCACTGTATATCAAGTAATGTATGTCAGTCCATTGGGTTCAACAGTCAGTGGAAGTTGTGCAGTGTATACAGTCCTACAGGAATAAACTAAGTTGTTCAGATCATGTATCACATCATTTCCATCCATAGAGTAATGAGGTTTAATTGAATAATTTAATGAGTAATTGTGTAATTTAACAATGTTCAGCATTGTTTAAAATAATTTTTTTTGGATTATCTGTTTAAGGAGGTAAGGAATTTTTGATCCAGAGTGGCTGATGGCACATTAGTTCAGGATAACACATCTGGGGGCTGGCCCCGTGGCCTAGTAGTTATGTTTGCACACTATGCCTTGGTGGCCCGGCATATGTGGGTTTGGATCCCAGGCGCGGACCTACACACCGCTCATCAAGCCATGCTGTGGCAGTGTCGCACATATAAAATGGAGTAAGATTGGCACAGATATTAGCACAGGGACAATCTTCCTCAAGCAAAAAGAGGAGGGTTGGCAACAGATGTTAGCTCAGGGCCAATCTTCCTCACCAAACAAAACAAAACAAAACAAAACAAAACACATTTTTTTTTTTTGCTATTGAATGTTTTGTACACTATCATTGTTTATTAAATACTCTTGAGGTACTACATTTAGCTAACTATTTCAGTTCTAAAGCTCATTTAAATCGATTACTTTGCTTTAATTTAAAGTAATGAATGAAAAATTATACCACAATTTTGCTTATCACTTTTTGGCAAATTAAAATTGATTAATTTGCTAGAGATGAGGTGGCAGATGACTGATTTGCTCAAAGTTTCACAGCTAAGTTAAAGACAAGTTAGAGACAGCAGTGCTGTGCTGCTGTCTCTGATATTGTATTGTTGTCTCCTTTTGGGGGAAACAGTTCATTTTTGCAGTATAGATACTGCAATATAGATAATACAGATAATTTTTGCTATAGAGAAAAATATCACTGTGAAGACAGATCATTGAAGCAAAGCATTTATTGTATGTTTCCATTTCTTTATAGCAGATTGGGTGTTTATTTTAAGCATGGTCTAGGTTGATAATATACTTAGGGTTGATTTGTTTAGAGGTTAAAGAGGTGCTAATAAGACTAAGAGTGTGGATTTGGGCCCCTTTAAGGCCCTTTAATAGCTCATTACAGGAATGATCACGACTAGTACCCAACAGTGTTAACTACTAACTGCAGTGGGATGTGGCTAGAATTCATATCCCCTGCTAATCACATTGCCCTCTTATGTGATCTGGTATAAGAAAGCAGCAGGAAAGATACTATATGTGGCTCAACAGACACACTACCTTTATTTAAAAAACAATTGAGAGTTAATATCCAAGGTAACGAAGAAGTGTGCAAAGCATAGTTTGTGTGCCTTGTAGAACATAGAACAAGCTAGAATTGTAACGAAGATTGTAACTCAAGGTGAGGCATTTAAAAAATTTGAAAAATTTGATTAATTGACAAGGTCAAATGCTCTCTTGGTTTGAATCACCTCATTCTTCTTGTCATCGTTTTTGTCTATACTATGGCAATGATTCTGGTACTAACTTAAGTAGTTTAGAAATTAATTAATCATCGTGATCCATTTGGTTTAACACCCTCTAATGTATTTGGAGTATTTATGTTAAATGGTCATATCCAGGAGTTGGTTGGGGGGTGAGCAGGAAGTATCAGATCAGGTAGGTTGAGGAAGTTCAGGCAGAAAAGAAAGGGATTAGTTGAACAGGGATAGGACTCTGGTTTCAAAGTGATGGGAGAAGAGGGGAGAAAGAAACAGGGGAAGGCCCAAGACC